CCTTATTTATCCAGCCCCTTATTTATCCAGCCCCTTATTTATCCAGCCCCTTATTTATCCAGCCCCTTCTTTTTCCCTCCCCTTCTTTCCCCCCCCCTCTTTCTCCCACCCCCTCTTTATCGCTCCTTCTCTTTATCTTTTTTTCCTTCCTTTCCTTTTTCCACATCCTTTTCCCCATCCTTTTTTTTCTTCTTCTTTTTTCCTGATCCTCTCTTTTCCTGATCTTCTTTTTCCTTAACGTTCCTTTTCTTCCTCGACCCTCTTTCTCGCATCCTCCTCATTCACCTGTCCTCCCTCTCTCTCTTTCTTTCTTTCTCTCTCTTTCCGCCACTCCTTGTGCGTCCGGTAGCTGCGTGGGTGGATGTGCCGCCAACAGGTGCCACGCGCATTTTTTAGGTCGCAGCATCTGTCGCCATAAACAAATCGAAATATTCGCTCAAGAAACACGTTCCGCTGCCAAAGCTCTGAGTGCAGAGAGGGAAAAAGGTAGAAATGTATCCAATTCCGTACGTGACCTCTTTATACATTTGCCAATAGCACAACTCGTGTATATTCCTTAATATCTTCCAAGTATTTTTGCATTAATGTTTTATTTATCTCTTTAATTTACGCTGTAATGAAATTTTACGGTTCTGCTTCGTACTATTTCGGTGCCACATAAATGTCATTTAAATGTGGTTTGGAGGAGACGTAATAGTCTAGGTCCCACGCGCATCACATGGTGCAGTATGCATAGTTACATTCTAAAGAATCTTGTGAATGCTGGAAGATAATTCTCAATGCGTTAAAGCTTTTTTTGAGCAAATCCCATTCGAATATTATTAATAATTTCCATTCAAAATAACTTACTCCAAGGTCGTTAAAAACCATGTACGTGCTTGAAGCAGGCTTACTATGCTGTTCCCGTGACAACAGGAAGTATATTTTACTCAATATGTAGTGATGGGGGACTACTATACATTTTTAAGTAACATTGACTTCAAACATTTAATAACCTAATTTCAAAAATCGACATAATTTGTTTTCTGAATTTAAAAAATCAATCTTTAAAAATGGACAATATTTATTAAAAAAATACCACACTCAAGCGTGTCATAAAATGGAAACATTTGTTTCTCGCTGAGTACCGGATAGAAAGCAATTGAAAATATTTCATTTGGATTCTAATTATTGTTTTACATCATTTATCTCTTGTTATTTTATCTCATCTTACCCGGCCAGTTCCTTTTCGTAAAAAGAATAGTGTTTGGATATCTAATTAAATTTGTGTCTTTTCTAGTTAAACGTTAATTGATGTCAGACGGATTAGTCTGACTTGAACTTCACTATCAATCGTACATTATTTTTGCTTCACACACTGTCAAAAAGCAATTACGTTCCAATGTAAAATTGCTTATTTTTCTTCCTAAATAGAATTCGATTCGATTAGAAATTCAAAATACTTACCAGAGAAATTTCTGTACAAAATTGTAGAACTTGTTTTTTTAATTATCTTCACAATTTCCACGATGTCTACTTATCTTAGCGGAGAAGCTCATCCCCTGCGGGGGTGTGTGGGCGTGCGGCCGAGGTTCAGATGCGAGACTCGACGCGACGTTGCACAGGCGTCGCTATTTTCAGTGCTGGAGATCTGGAACCAGTCCACGCGGAAATCTGAGCGGCCTCATAAAACACTTGCTATGTTTTTACTCCCGCAAGCTATCCGAGACTTCACAACGCATTCCTAGAGAAAATATGTTATTTTTCATTTCATTGGCGGAACTTATTTAAATTATTTTTATCGTTTGAAGCTTATTTTAATAGACTGAAAAAGGCGAAGATACAGTAAAGCAATATAAAATTGGTTTTTGAAATGTGTTCTCTATATGTGACAAAGCAACTAGTGCTTCCTCGCCTACTACGTAGTTATGTAGGAATGAGTAAGGCTTGTACTGCCGCAGCCGACAGAGATGATTGTTTGTCAGCAAAATCCTCATACTTAAAAAGGGTATACTAAAATACTTCCGCTTACACATTGAGAAAGAAGGATCCACGTTTTGTTAATATTTGATACCGAAAAGTTACTTTACAACAACACATATGCGTGACCGTCTGTCTCTGCGTCAGCCCCTGTGTCCGTCCGTCCCTGTGTCCGTCCGTCCCTGTGTCCGTCCGTCCGTCCCTGTGTCCGTCCGTCCCTGTGTCCGTCCGTCCGGCACTGCTGTGAGGTCAGTTGATGCCATGAGCGAACAACGCTGGGCGCAAATCTTCGAATTTTCACGACTTTCAAACTACCTCCTGGCTGCGAGGGAGAGAAGAAAGCCAGGGCATGTCCCTGGGCGCGAGTCGCGGTGGCAGCGGCGTCCGCAAGGACGCGAGGGGATGGGGGCCCACGAGAGCACGAGGGGGCGAATGGGCGACGGCGGTGCGCCCCCTGTGCCGAGTGCTGCCCCCTCCTCCAGGGCGACGCCATTTGCATTTTAACGGAGCCGCAATTCCAGAACCCCAAGCGGCGCCTTTGAGGGCCTCCCCCGCCGCCGCACGGGACCAACAGAGCCCGACGGCGCGGAGGCCACCAGGGCGCGGATGAGAGCGTGGCGGTGACGCACATGCTGACGGTGACGCACATGCTGAAGTTCACACACGTTCTGACGGTGACGCACATGCTGAGGTTCACACACGTTCTGACGGTGACGCACATGCTGAGGTTCACACACGTTCTGACGGTCACACACGTTCTGACGGTGACGCACATGCTGACGGTGATGCACATGCTGACGGTGATGCACATGCTGACGGTGACGCACATGCTGACGGTGACGCACATGCTGCTGGATGACGAGGTCACCAGATGCTGGGACTGGTGACGCACGATGCTGAGGGACCACACTGCTGACGAGGGGACGCACATTGTGCGAACGGCATGCTGACGGGGACCACAGCGCACGGGGACGCAACATGCTGAACGGGGAACGCAATAGCATGCTGAGGGGAGCACATCTGACGGGGACGCACATAGCTGGACGGGGACCGCAACATATTAGGCTGGCACGGGGACGCACATGCTGACGGGGACGGGCCTCATGCTCGAACGGGGACCGCACATCGCTGACGGGGGACGCACATGCTGACGGGGACGCACATGCTGACGCTAAAGCACATGGTCGCGGTGACGCGTATGCTGATAGTGTACACGCACTGCATGCTGACATAGACGGGCGTGTCGTCGGAAACGCACATGCTGACAATAAGCACGTACTGATGGTGACATACATGCTGATGGTGACATGCATGCTGATGGTGACGGTGACGCAAAGACTGACAATGGCGCACATGCTGACGGTGTATGTTGAGTGAGAGACGGTAAGCGACGATGTATGACGAAGGTATGTTGACGGTGACGTAGAACCTGACGAGTTTCGCAGATGCTGCCGAGTGACACAAATGCTGCAACAACAGCAGCAACAGAAACGTTGATGCTGTAGCCGACACTGAAGCAAAAGCTAAAGGTGGCGCTGATGGTATTGAGAATGAAGTCGAAAATCGTTGCAAGGATGATGATGAAGACTTCATCGGGGCGGGGGCGGTGAAGGTGACTGGGGCGATGAAGATGACGCGCACGTGGTGGTGATGGGGGAGAGCTCAGGGGGCGAAAGAAATGGATGGCGACATCGAAGAAGGCTGTTGTAACTGATCCTGCACAAAAACTAAAAGCTTTATTAATCCCTCTGAGATGCACTTCAGAGTATTGTTTTCTAACAGGTACATTTCAACGTTTTGTCATTATCTTCATTTAAATTCTCAAACCTGTTATCATCAACTGAGTCTATCAATTTTTTTACGCAATCTTTTTGTGTTCTTCTGTATCTATCAACGTTGCAGTTCTTCTATCGTTCCCAATTCCTTCCAAATCACACGACAGGAAGTTTACTAACTTTTGCAATGTATTGTGAACGTCATCTTGTGAGTACATATCACTTCCTGGAGGTAGAAATACTAAATGCAAATAACTTAAGTTATTTTTTAAAATGTCCTGCGCCAATTGCGGTTTTCCATGCTTGTTTTTGGGTAGTAATCAGCTATTTTTATTGTAATTAATACCATGCAAGCTTGAAAATTCGTGATGCACGTGCGAAATATCTCATGCACACGTCGTAAAAAGAATTAAACGCTACAAGTTCACGAAACGGTGATACGAGCTATTGCTACGTAACTTACTAATTTCATTTACAGAACGAAGACAAAGATGAAAAATAAAAATCGTAAAATTACGCTTTTTGCTGTGTATGGTCATGGGTGTGTTGTGGCATTAAACTTCGGCAGTAAGGTCAGTATTCTTTGGTTTAATGCACTAGTACTAATATAGGATTTCATTTATTCCTCAAAATTAAGTTTTTGTGAGTCTGATAACTTTTCAAATAGATTAAAATCAAAGCACACTGTGATAATGACACATACATTTGAATTCCTCTCTAATTAGCTTGTATATTTTCGTTGTATTCTTATACATTGCAATCGTTTTTATTCCACAGTCATTTGGGGTCATGTCCCACCTCTGGGCGTACCAATACCTGGAGTAGCGATTAAATGTGCAGTATATATCCAGACTGCACAGAATATCTCGCTACCAATTGTTACTTTAGAGGGCTAGTAGGGAGTCCAAGAAAGTGACTATGACTAATGAATATGTACCGAAAATTTTATATAACAATGTTATATCAATTACAGTTGTTCTAAATTGGTAGACAATTCATCATACATTGCTTTCTGGTGAAAAATTGAATTATCTCTTATTACCCCAGAATGAGACCCACCGAAAACTAACGAATGATGCCTACTGAGGGGAAAATGTCACAAGAATAATATTGTTGAGATTTCTTACCATACACGTTACATTCATTGGAAAAGAAAGTGTTATTTGACCCCCTCCATGCCATAGAACTATGAGAACTTATCTGCCTATATATCTATCTCCCAACCTATCTATCTATCTGTATGTCTATCTCCCAACCTATCTATCTATCTGTATATCTATCTCCCAACCTATCTTTTCTATCTGTATATCTATCTACCAACCTATCTACATATCTATCTATCTATCTACCGATCTGTCTGTCTATATATCGATCTATCTTTCTATTTACTTATCTGTGTATCTACCTGTCTACCTACCCATTTATATATCTATGTACCAATTTATCCATCCATCTACTACGTATCTAACGCATTTCTTCGTTGTGAGGCGCCTGCAGCGAGGGCGCGAGTTGCAGGCGGTGACAGTTGCCGGGTGCGTTGCAGGTTCCTGTGGCGGAAGCTGCGTGAGCGCTCGGCGGCGCCGGGCTACGAGGGCGTGCTGCAGCGCGAGGAGAGCTCCGACCCGCTCGCCGTCAAGTCGCTCTCCGCCAGCGGCCACCTGCTCACGGACGAGGTACGCAGCCCACCGCGCCGCGCGCCGCGCCCGACGCAACCCGCGCTCCTGCGCCGTCCGGCGGGAAGCCTACCGGCCAGGCGCCGCACGAGTAATTCTAATGTAGTTCCTTTCCCCGCTAACCCATTGTAGAATATTCTCCCCATTCTGGTGAGTCTGGTGGTTCTGCAAAGCGCGAAAGGGACTCATAAACATTCGGGATACGGGTCAGTTTTATCCGTACCGTCTAACTGCAATTTATATGTACCAGAACAGCGGCGAGCATACAACATCTTATGGCCTGAGCTTACCGATAATTGGGAGGTCGTGAGTTCGATTTCGGCAATGTGCCAAAAATGTACCTCATTTGTCATAGGTTGAGTCATTTAACTCGCTATCTGAGTTTCTGATTCCTGTCGGAATCGAGTTCGTAGGCTGTTTGTTCCGTAGTTTCTACATTTCCAGGTGAGTACTGTAACAGCACACTATACAACGGGACTTGGAACGCGCGCAATATTTCCTTCCTATTGTCTTATTATTATCATTCAATAATTTCCCCCAGTCCGGGCGGGGATGGGTATAAGGGAGTGGGTCATATCTCATCTTGTCGTAACAGGCACATACCGAAGACAGGTCTTCCAGACTGCAAATGCTTATACCTAAAAACAGGAAAGAGAAAATGTGGAACTGCCTTGGCAAACACGAAATCTGTCCGTAACCCCGCGGGACAACTGTCACAAACAAAATCCGCTCATTATATTCTACAGAACACCATTTGACGTGAACGTCTGCACGAGTAAACCTCGACCAAGTACGGTTCCCTAAACCTCTTAGTTAGTTCTCCGTTGAGAAGGAAAAGCAGAAAACCCGATAGACATCTATGATAGACGTATTTATACTATTAAATACGATACGTATAGAAAAACGCGGACGGATAAAACTGAATCGAAGATCGTATGTGTATAAGTCCCTATTATGAAAGCGCTTCGGATCCAAAGATATCAGATCCCGTCGCAGAATTTACCTAGCCTCTTACTCGCTTTTGCTTACGTTTAAGTGAAGTTCTACAGTTATGAAAAATCCATTTCAAGCACAACCAGTAGAGCTTGTTAAAATGCAACAATGAAAACGTTATGTTTTAAGTAATCGGTTTATAATTTATGAAAGGAAATTTATTCAATATAAAAATACTACTCAAATCTTCTTGCACATACTCATTCTGAAATTTTACTGAAACATTCGTGCAGTAGTGTTACAATATAATAGGTGTCAATAAATATTATAAGGAGTTTGTTACATTTTGTTATACAAATCACTACAGTATTATTTAAAATATAAGAAGCAGATTATATAAAAAGAAATAGGTGTATTAGAAAACAATTCTTAATTTTTTTTCATTAAAGAATTAAAAGATGCTTCCCAATGAATAGGTCATCGACACGGAGAGTAGTTGTAAAGTTATATTAGAAAATAATTATTTTTTTCAGTGAAAATATGGAGCATAGAGTAGGAGATATATTATTTTAAATCATTTGCACTAAGGATATAATAGTATGTTTTAACATGCCGATTACACATTTGAATGTAATATTTTTATATGTATTTAAAATACTCTTTAAAATTATATATTTTGAAAATATAGCTATGTTAAAAATGCGTGCACCGAATTAAACATCTGCATAAGACTGCAGATATTACTTACAATAAATAATATCTCGTTTAATGAAACGGGAGACTTCAAAGGTTTTTGAATGCATTTGAACAAAATAAATTAAATTTAATTTTTAAAGGAAATGGATATATTCATTATCTGCTCTGACGTGCTGTCTTTCTAAATGTAAACTGTGAATGCATGATTACGTGTTAAAACTATGTAGCATTAGTTCCATATAAAAATAGTGTTTTTTTATTTTTAGTGAAGTGTTTTTCTATGTTGTTTGTTTATAAAATTGGTGCAATTATTTTGAACATTAACATTTCATATATTTGTAGTACGAATTTACATTAAACTTAAGTGCTTGGTTTAGCTAAAAAATGTTTTAAAAAATTGTGTTTAAGTACGTACATTTTTCTGATATATAAATATTTATTTTATCGTATATTAAAAAAAGTATTTTTAATGAAAATATTGAATTTTAAACATTAGAGAAATAAATTGTTTTTCGAAGTACTTCTCAGAACTGATTTTAAACAGATATGTTATTTAGCAAGATTATGACATGTTGTGGAAATATATGTCGCTTTTTATATCATTACTTCATTTCAGTATTTTAATTATATCTTTGTTAGAAAGTCAAATAGTGGCCAACTTCTGTCAATCCCAGCAACTAATTATTATTTTCAAATAGTTCCATAAGAGTAACTGAATATCTTCTAATCATACATCAACACCAAACCTCTCTCAGTTCAATTTAAGCAGCTTTCTCCCTCGTCAGTCGGATGTTTTTACAGTTTTGAGTAATGTGATATACGAACTTGATATCCTTACTCTTTACTAATATTTACATTGTTTTGTTATTTATGAAGTATTTTCTCATTCTTGTTATACGCAAAACTCCAAAGAAAATTAACAAAAGAAGCACAGAAAAAATTAGTAATCGTGGATTTCATTGTCAGTGAGAAATCTAATTGTTTTTATAGTAAGTTTCTCAGTAAAATGATTTTGCTTTATTGTACTCATTGTACACTAGTGACCATTCCTTGATTTAGTTTCGTGATTGATTATCCCCTTCCCTATCCAAAGCAAATCAGATCTTTTCGATATCACTAATTTACTGACCCTAAACCAACCACAAGCATAAGAAAGTTGAAAAATTCATTAGCTATATAAACTATATACTCATGCATGAAAAACTTTGGCACGTGACATAACATATTAGCCATCCGTGTTGAACAGTAATGGAATAGATCCAGACTTGCTTTTCCGATAGTACAGTACGCAATGTAAGCCACAAACAACATTGTGAATTGTCAAATAGTTTTCTTTTCTCTTATGTTAAGACCAACATCAGGATAAGATTTTAATTATAAGCTCTGAAAACAGTTTTTTTAATATACATTTCAGAGAAATTGTTTCGACTTTCAACAACATAAAATCTTATATAAATCAACAAGAATAAGAGGAATGCATATTTTGTGAAATTCACTTAATAACATGATTTTTTTCTCAGGGGCTTGGCTGACAAGTTTTTTCAGAATTTATATCATTGCTTTCAGAAAAAAATATCTTAAAGCTAAACAAAATTTCTCCACAATCATAGTAGTGGATGGCGAGCAGTAAAACGTCCTTTCTAACCTTCTAAAAGTTCTGAAAATTATTAAAATATATCGCAATATGTTTTGTCATGTTGGTTAGAATTTGTTGTTTCAAAGAGATTGTTACTAAACGATGGTACTAGAGAAAATAGGAAAGTACTTCGTTTATTCAACATAAACGCAGGTGGCCCTGATAGTCGAGTGGACCAAAATGTAAATCTGGATCACCATATTTTTATAAACACTTCCGTTCGAATTTATCTCTGCGCCTGAATTTGTGATTAGTGTACGTAGAGCAGTGGTAGATTAACACAAGTACAATAAGCACGACATTAAAACTCTCGCTACATTGGAAATTTAATTGAATTATAAATTAGTAAATATATATGTTGGAATACTTCATTAATAATACGACTTTTTCCAAAATATTGCACCTTATGTGGCACTGATTTTCCGCTGCCTATTTTTTACTCAAAGAGAAGATTCTTCCAACATCAGCAGCGGCGTACGAAGAGAAAACACCTGACAGAGATTGGGAAGTGGCGGACCCAAACCGAAATTCACGTAATGTTTATAACACCAGAGAGTTGGTAGCGCATATTGGAATGAAATTAATGTGACTGCCCTGAAATTGTTTTCGTGGTTTTCCTTATCCCTTTGACGTGATTTTCGGATCGTCATCCTATACTAAATCGGACCACAGTGACGCGAGATTTTTAACCCCTTCCCATCATCAACATCCCATCATAAATTACAACCTATACTTAGGCGCCGCGGGCGAGTATGTCCCGACCAACTCCCTAAACATAACTGCCATCTTCCCACAGAGGGCCTTGCGTACCTTAGAACTGCGCGGAACAAGCGTCAGTTGATAGATTATTTCGTGATTCCGGACACGTCAACGGCTAATGTCATTAACCCTCTAAGTCTTCTTCTTCTTCTTCTTCTTCGACAGTTTCTACTCCTTAGAGTTTGCCGTTTTCGATTTCCATAATTCTCGGTCCTCCCATTGACCCTCTTCCAATCCTTTCTCCTCCATTACTTCCTGTATATATGTCTTCCAGGTTAAACCAGGTCTACCTCTTCTACGTCTTCTTTCAGGTATCCAATTTACAATTTGTTTTGGCCATCTCTCATTTCGCATCCTCTGGACATGTCCATACCATTGAAGAGCTTTATTTTCTAGTCTTCTGGTTATGGTTGTTTGAACCCCAGCTCTTTCCCACACCACTTCGTTTCTTATTTTATCCAGTCTTGTTATCTGCAAAGATCATCTCATAAAGTCGAGCACTACCGACCGTATTCTGTCTCTACGGCGTTTTGTTAACGGCCACATTTCTGCTCCATATAATATAATACTTTCCACGATACTGTGGAATATGTGTCGTTTTGTGTCTTGCCTTAAAACACTATTCCATATAAGGCCATGCAGAGCTTTGATTGCATTCCTCCCCATTGCAAGTCTAGTAGTTATATCTTCATCAATTTATCCTCTAAGTGTAGTTTATGTTTACCTCCGGATGTGGCGGTGACTTTCCCCCACCCTGCTGGCGTGATCGGGCGTTGACTTACACGTCGAGTAGGAGTTTTCCTCACCAGGTATCTCCCACCAGCGGGGCACCTCCGCAGCCGAGGCACGCTTAAGCTCCCGATTGGTCTCCCTAAATGTAGTGCATGTAAGAAAGTGATGGCGAGTAAAGGGTTCCGGTAGGACAAGGAAGGAAAGATCGCGCGCGGTCCATCATATCCCGTTTGCTTCAGCGGCC